ATGAAGACTAATCCAAATGTAAAATAAAAAGAAATTAAAATGGTACTAAAAAAAAGAAGAAAGAAAAAAGGAAACAATAAATGCAAAATAGCAGTAGTAATAATGATTGAAATTGAAAAATGTAATAATTGCAAAGGTTAAATCAAGTGAGGAAAAACGAAAAAAAATCGCTTCTTAAGTAAAAGATGTAAAAAATGAAAATAAACTAAATGATGTAAAAGATGAAAATAAAATAAAAAATAGAAAAATTAGCATAAAAATATGCAGTAGTGGTCATTCACTCCCTCTGTTATTCTATTTGGCCCACCTATTTCTTGGTCCAGACAGTATTGCAGTTCCCTGCGTTCCATTGCACCTCAGTTTTGTAAGCTAGTCCTTAATTTTAAGAAGGCTATTTCTTAATTATTTGTGTCCATTTACTTTTGATTAATTAAATGTAATAATAATAAAAAAAAAGGTAAAAGGGGAAAAAATCTGTTTGTAATCAGCCCCTAGGTGGCAGTGTTTCTGGTTTGACTTCCCAGTCTTTTTGGCTGCTCTAGCCTTCTTTCTTTATGGCTCTATGTTTTGTTGAGGAAAGCTGCCTGGCTGCCAGCTCCCAGATTGACTTGGTTCCCAGATTGTTTCTTCTCCCTCTGATCCCCTGTTTCCAGGAAGGCAATGCCAAACTCGGCAGTCCTTCTCTAGTATTCAGAAGCAAGGGGGTGAAGGGGATCAGGCGCAGGATGGTCTGTGCCAAGGTGCCCAGATGTTTTGCTTTTGGCGGGATGGTCCCGATTCTTAATAATTTGTCCCGCGTCCCTTGGTGTTTTTGAAAAAGACCCGATCTTGGGGAAGATCATGACAAAGCCAGCACTGGGTCTTGCCGGGTGCAGTTGTCTCTACAGCCACTGTCTCTTTCGGCGCAGCTTGGCATGGGCTGCTAGGGGCTTGGGATACTCTGCCACGGGGCCACCCGGGGCTAGGGCCATGCGGGCCTCGGGACTCTCATGGCACAGGGCCGCTCGTGGTGTGGTGGCGCTGGGCCGTTGGTGGTGCGGAGCTGCTAGAAACACAGAGCCACTGGGGCACGCCGCGGGTACTGTCGCTGCCTGTGCCGCAGTAACCTAGAACCCTCATGTTTTCCCCGCAAACTCTGACCTTTCTGTGGGTGATTGAAGAACTCCCTTGAATGTACTATTTTGTGCCCTTTGGGGCGTCACAGATGCTCAATGGTCTTCACTGCTGAGGGTTTTCCAGGCCTCAGAGGTCTTCTTTTCTTGGTAAGATGGTGCAACCTTCCCTTTGAGCCCGTAGCTCTGGGAGAGGTGTCCGCCGCCACAGTGCTGGCTGCTTGTTCAGGAAATCATGTCCAGAGGACCCTTACCTTCTTTTAGAGTTCTGCTACCCCTTAGCTTGCCAATCTATACTCCCTGAGCAATTCTTAGAAGCTGATTCTATCTGTTCTGGGACTAGGCTCAGAACAAGTCTATCTGACCGGTCGCCATCTTGTCTCCCTCAGTAATTAAGTCTTGATTGTTGTTGGTATCACTGGGAGGAATTGACCTCCAGGCCAATTGGCTGTGAGTATCAGCTGTATCTATGCCAGGATACCTTCTGTATTGGAGACAGCCTTATAGGACCAGACTTGCAAAATTGCAAAAGCCTCTGTGCTCAGCTTGGATGGGGTGGAGTCTCAGGGCTGAGCTGACAGTCTTGGCTTCCAGTCAGCCCTGCCCTTGTGCACACACCTTCAAACCTCTGCCTTCAGCGGCTCTCCAGACTTTCTGACTGACAGTCCAGATTCCCTCTGTAAGAGGGGCTTGCCTGTAACTGGGTTTCAGTGCAGTTGGAACTGGTATTCATTGTAGTTAGGAACTTACGACTCCTTCTGCTATGGAAAGCCTGTGGCAATCTCTGCAGTCAGACCTCTCTGCACACACTCACATGTGCATGCGATCCTGCAGACCCCTGCCCACTGCAGCTCCCTCAGGTCTCCATTTCTCTGAGTCTCCGTGTGCCTTTCTCTACAGTCTATACTCCACCCATATGAGCCTGGGTCCACAGGATTTTGGCCAGAGATGGCGTTCGGTGCAGTTGAAACTGGGGTTCAGTGTAGTCGGGGGCTTCCTTTCCCCTCCTGCCAGCTAGGCACTCAGCTGTCCTTCCTCTCTGCACATGTACACGTCTCTGTACCTCAGCATTTTGATCCATGAGCTTTTCTCCTCTGATCCATGAGCTTTTCTCTTTCCTTTTAGTTGTAGTATTTCCACTCATCCAGATTTCCTGTGATTTTCGATGATGTCCGTACTGTCTTTTAGTTGTTTTGAAATTGTTATGCATGGCAGAAGTTTAGGTGCTTACCTAGGCCACCATGTTGTTTTCTCTCCCTAAGAACCACTCTTGAAGTAGCAATGGGAGAATATTTGGCTGGACCTCTTCATGGAGGTGATATTTTAAAAATTTGAATATAGATCATTTGTCAAATGGGTAGCTAATTGTGATTTTATTTTATACCACCATTATCCTTTTATATAATGCAATTCTAAATTATTGGGGGGAAAAAAGGTGCCGAAATATGTGTCTGGCCATACCACCTTCAGTTTTTACATTCATTGCCCCTTATTTTAGGTCCTTTTGTGAATATTCATTGAGCAAGTCAAATTTGTTCCTTTACCAGATTGTATTCCAATCCAAGCTGTCATCTGGTTAATGTGTAAAAAGTCTAGATGTTGTCTATGTTGTCAAGGGAAGGGTCTTTGAAAGCAGACAAACCACCTTGCTTCTAGTTTCAGGTTTTCTAGCTAGCTCTGGAACCTGAAGCTAATTTTTTCTTTGTAAAATGATTGTCAATATTGTTTGGTGATAGGCAAAATAGCATCTAGTCTGTTGTCAATACCTGTCATAGAAGACTGGAGAAGAACGAAGCAATACTTAGAGAGATGGAGTTACACATTATTATTACAAGAGGGTGGAGAGAAACTGTATTTTAGATTCTGGCCCCAACATGGAGGAACTTTCCCTATTTATATGTTTTTACTTTCTTTGTCTCCCAAATATGGGGTGTTTCTGGTCCCCTTTGCAAGTTCTTAAAGACCCCTATGTGATTGATCATTGAGACCAACCAAAGGCTTGGCCTGGTGCCAGCACTGTGAACTTCATCTGGAGAAGGTTTGTGAACTCTCTGGAGTAGTCTTATTTTCCTTATTATTTAAGCAAACAAGCATTTACAGAACCCAAAATAGCAGGGTTAAAATTTTAAACAGCTGTTTTTATATAAATATTATGGCTAATACTTCAAGTACTATGTCAAACAGGAGTGGTGAGAGTTGGCATCCCTGTCTTGTTCCTGTTCTTGTAGGGAATGGTTTTAGTTTTTGCCCATTGAGTAAGGGAATGGTTTTAGTTTTCGCCCATTGAGTATGATATTTGCTGTGGGTTTATCATATATAGCTTTTATTATGTTGAGGTATGATCCTCCTATTCCCACCTTGTTGAGAGTTTTTATCAGGAAAGGGTGTTGCATTTTATCAAGTGCTTTTTCTGCATCAATTGATATGACTATATGCTTTTTATCTCTCAATTTGTTTATGTGATGTATCATGTTTATTGACTTGTGGACATTGTATCATCCTTGTATTCCCGGAATAAATCCTATTTGGTCATGGTGTATGATCTTTCTGATGTGCTGTTTGAGCCAATTTGCTAGAAATTTGTTGAGGATTTTGGCATCTATGTTCATGAGGGATATTGGCCTGTAATTCTCTTCCATTGTGTTCTCTTTATCTGGTTTTGGTATTATGGTGAAGCTGGCTTCATAGAGGAGCTTGGAAGTGTTCCTTCCTCTGGAATTTTTTGAAAAGTCTGAGGAAGACAGGTTTTAGTTCTTCCTTGAATGTTTGGTAAAACTCCCCTGTGAAGCTGTCTGGCCTCAGGCTTTTGTTTGCTTGAAGTTTTTTTTTTTTTTTTTTTTTTTTTTTTTTTTTTTTTTTTATGATTGCTTGAAGTTCTTCCATAGTTATTGGCCTATTGAGCTGTTTAGATTCTTCCAGATTGAGTTTTGGAAGGTTATATTTTTCTAGGAATATGTCCATTTCTTTCAATCTTTTGGGGTTCATTTTGCTTGGAACTTTGTGAGCTTTTTGCTATTTGTGTGTTTTTTTTCTTTTATATATAGGGAAAGTTTTCTGTCATTATTTCTTCAAACAGGTTTTCTATTCCTTGTTCAGTTTCCTCTCCTTCTTGAACCCCTATTATGTGGATGTTGTTTTGTTTCGTGTTGTCCTAAAGCTCTCCTGCTTTTTAATTTTTTTTCTAGAAGCTGCTCTACTTGGGTATTTTTTCCACCTTGTCTTCTAGCTCAGTGTTGCAGTCTTCTGCTTCTTCTAGTCTACTTTTGATGCTTTTTATTTAGTTCTTCACAGCAGTGATGTCATTTTTTATCTCTTCTTGTTTCTTCTTCATTTCTACTTGGTTTTTGCTCATTTTGTCGAAACTGTCTTCCATTCTTTTCAGCCACCTCATGTCCATTTCCTTGAATTCTTTATCTGACATGTTACTTGCCTCTATTTAATTTAGTTTCTGTTCTGGTGATGCCTGCTTTTCTTTCATATGCACGCTGTTTCTTTGTCTCCCAATTGTCACTCTTCTCCCAATGTCTGGTTATGTTGTTCTCTCCCTCCTTATCCCAGGTGAAATCTGACCTTTCAGCGGTGGAGTGTAGAGCTTCTCTTAATGTGCCATGTTTGCACCAATTGGGGACCAGTGTTCTGGGGTTTGCAGCTGTTCGGTGGTTGTAGCATTTGTAGCTTTTCAAGCTGACCCTTGCCCCTCTTTAATGCGTAGTTTTGGTTTCTCAAGTCTTCTAACGACATTGCAATATTTTTTTGTTTAACATCATTCAGTGTAAGTTGCAACCTGAAGGAAGCATTAACCTTTGCTTTTCTCCTATCTTCCCTAACAGTGGAGGATTTTAGTTAAAGTAAATCAGTGTTGACCATTTCTCCTGTTTTTTATTGCAGATTATTCTTCAGCTGTTCAGAAATTTTCCCAGACTCTGCAATCCTTTCAGTTTGATTTTATTGGAGATACTCTGACTGATGATGAGATTAATATTGGTAAGTCTTCAGTTACAAGAGGCCACATGTTACATCAAGGCAGGTCTGAGATCATTTATCCTTCTTGTTTGTGGAAGCTGAGAACCTGTGTGTGTGTGTGTGTGTGTGTGTGTGTGTGTGTGTGTGTGTATGTATATATATATATTTTTCTTTCTTTCTTTTTTTTTTTAATCTGTGGTCAAGTATCCTATTCCTGGGAGCTTCCTTAAGAGAGATAAAGAAACATTTCCCCCCATTCCCATATCTTTCTCACCAATAGTAGTAAAAATATATCCAAAAAACCTCAATTGAGGCCTTTTACTGAATTAGTATGAAAGGGAGTTTTTCTTTAAAGATTTTGATACATGAAAAGTATATTTTTGTAATGAATAAATTAAAGCTGCCTCTATTCTTGCTTCTGCTTTCAATATATCTATTGAAGATAACCTTTGACCTGTAGATAAACATTTGAGCTTTAGAACCCAAAAGGTTGAGGGATTTCTTAATAGTTCTTGTTTACCTGGAACCCAGGCTCAGATAAATTTCAACATTCTTAGGGGACTAGGATTCACAAAGCAGGGAAAACTTAGAGTGCTTTCCAAGGAAAGTACCAGTTCTTAGGGCCCTCTGAGTTCCCATGGGAGCATTTGACTGAAGAAAATGTTGAGCACACAAAATGAGGAGAATGCAAGACATGAGTATCACCTTTTTTAATACTTGAGGAGTTTTTATACTCTCCTATTGGTTAAGTGCCAGTCAGGGGCAAGTAAGTGGTACAAAAACAATCCCAACATATTCCCGATTGTGGATACAGAGTTCAACTGAAGTGAATGTGTTTCTCTAGTACATCCTTTAGTAGGCCTAGGCTTTAGGCTTGTCTGCCATTCACTCTTGCTTTACTTTAAAGTTCACAAGGACTCACTAATTGTGTACTCTGAGCTCTCCCCTCTATTCTACCCCTTCCACCATTTTATATCAATGGTAATAACTATTCTAATACCTTGGCTCATTATTTCCTTACTAGAGGCATTTTTTTCATTTCTCTTGGCCAGTTGTATGTTCTCTTTGGATAAATGTCTATTCAGGTCTTCTGCCCATTTTTAATTGAATTATTTGTCTTGCTTTAGTTGAGTTGTATGAGTAATTTATATATTTTGTATATTAACCCCTTATCATATGTACTACAGGACTGGTGCATGAAATCTGTACATGAGGGGTCTCCCTCAGCACAACCTGCACCTCTTAAAATCTGGGACCCCTGTGGGATTAGGCCTAAACTTGCAGTTGGACATCCCTCTCGCAATCTGGGAGGGCTGGCTCCTAACCGTTGTGTCTGCCTGCCTGATTACTCCTAACCCCTCTGCCTGCCTGCCTGATCACCCCTAACCGTCTCTGCCTCGGTCCCCATTACTATGTCTTTATTCAGAAGGACATTCAGAATGATGTCCAGAATGTCCTTCAGCTGACTGGTCTAATTAGCATATTATGCTTTTATTATTATAGATGGGGAGATGATAGGAGTTAGGTCTGTGGTTTTGTATTTGCCTTGATCTGGGTTAATATCCAGACACATTTATTTATTAGCTGTATGGTCTTAGGCAGTTTCTGTTTTTAAAAATAAAAATTGAGCTTATTGGTATTTTTGCATTATCATGTAACTAGAGGCTTGATGCATGAAATTATTTATGGGTACGGTCCCTAGGTCTGGACAGTGATTGAAGCATAAGCATCTAATGTACAAAGGCAGGTCTTAGTTGATCTCTGGACCCTGGGCAGCACTTGGGCCTCTGGGCCCATGCACACCCTCCTCTGCCTGAGTCACGGTGTCTGAGTCTTCATGTGGAAATGTGGTGAGCTTGGCCAGACATTACAGGCCATGGCACAGAGGGGTCTCTGGGCCACCCAGCAGTATTGCACAAAGTTGGGCGGGTCACGTGCTCTATTCTGGCCAGCCTCATAGATTGGTTCCTGCTTGAACCCACAGGGAGCCTGACTGGCCTCTGCAGTCCTATCAGCTGCCTCCCTGCTCACCTGGAAGAGGCTTCCTGGGTTTGGGGTGGGCCCCTCATGGGTGCCAGGCACCTGAGCACAGGACTTTCCCTGGCATGTGAGTCCTGGTGTCCCAGGAGTGGGTGGCAGGGGGAGCGAGACTGAGCTTGGCAGACACCCTGTATTCTCACTGCAGCTCCATTGCTGTCATCTTCACCCCGCCCCCCCCCCCCAGGTAGCCTGCAAAGTTCACAGCCCCCCCTCCCCACCTGGGTACTGTGGCAGGTTGTAGCCACCCAGCCCCAGTTCTCCATCCCAGGTGGGGCTCAGCCCTGATCAGGCAATCTGGGCCTGCTGGCTACAGGTTGTCTGCAGGGCAATTGATCAGGGCTAGGCCCCCCTGCCAGCTCCTCAGCACCTGTGAGCTAGGAGGTGACCCCACCACCACTACCACTGCAACTGATTGGCATATTTTGGGTGGTCGGCAGGGTGCTCAGGCCTCTGAGCACACCTGCCTTGACCTGGTTACTGTGCACTCACCTGCTCCACCATCCCTCCACAGTTCTGAACTCCTTGGGGCCCATCGGGGCCAGCAGTGTCTTCACTGCCACTTGCTGCCAGCACCACATTGCAAGTGCTTGACACGTTTTGCACTACCTCCTGGTGGTCAGTGTACGTCATAGTGAGCTTTTGAACTCTCAGGTGAACTCCCAGTCCAGGGGACAATTTGCATATTAGGCTTTTATTATATAGGATAATATAAATATACATTGTAAAATATGGGAAATAGAGAAAAAAGAATATAAATGGCTGTAATTTGCTGAGCACGTACTATGTGAAAAATGCTTTGTATTTATTATCTAATTTTCAGAGCAATGCTAAGGAGTTAGACTGAGACTAAGGGAGGTAAAGAAACTTGCCTAGGATAATGTAGCTAATAAGTAGCTAATAAGTAGCTTAAGTGGGATTTTTAATCATCACTTCCACTCAAAGAACAAACGTTGCTTTGAGGTATTTCCTTCTAGTCTTTTAAAAAATCTGAGCAGGAAAACCAAAATGGCGGTGTAGGTGAGTAACTAATCTGCCACCTCGCACAACAATTTCAAAACTACAACTAAAGGACAAAACTTCTATCACTGAAAACCACAGGAAAGCTGGCTGAAAGACAAAGGAGCACAAGAGCTGGATAGCTGAAAAGCCTAGTTACAGAGGCACATGAATTGGACTGGTGGCTGACGACTGGGCGCACGGCTTTTTTTCAACCAGAAAAGAAACAAGCTCCCAATCACTTTGAAATCCATTTTCTGGAGTCATGTGGGGGACCCAGATGCCTACGGGGAGAAACTGGTCTGTCGGACATAAGGTCGAAAAGTGAGGGTGACTTTTTTGCAGAGGTGCGCGCAGCAATCACTGTTTATTGCACTGGAGCGCAGGGACTTAGAAACGCTGAAAGGTAGAGAGGGCTGATGGCAGCCATTGTTGTTTGCCACTCCCCAGCCTAGTGATGTCCTGATGCCCCGCCCTGCCCTGAGGCCCCGACCTGCACATTCTAAAAATCCGCCCAGGCTCCACATAGCTGCTTTTGCATAAGCAGCAAAAATGCCTAGAAAAGGAAGGAGATCTAAAAGAAAAGAAATGGAGGAGAACAAAAGACTGGTTATAGAGTTCAAAACCATGGTTATTAGGTTTTTCAAGAATTTCCTAGAAAAGATTGATAAATTTAATAAGACCCTTGAAGGTATTATATGAAAAAGAAATTAATCCAACTAGAAATTAAACATACACTGACTGAAATAAAAAAATATTATACAGAGACCCAACAGCAGACCAGAATAACGTATGAATCAAATCAAAGATTTGAAATACAAAGAGGAAAAGAACACTCTTCCGGAGAAGCAAGAAGAGAAGAAAATGTGGAAAGTTGAAGATAGTGTAAGAAGCCTCTGGGACAACTTCAAGCATACCAACATCAGAATTATGGGAGTGCCAGAAGAAGAGAGAGAGAAAGACACTGAAAACCTATTTGACGAAATTATGACTGAAAACTTCCCCACCTGCTGAAAGAAATAGACTCACAAGTCCAAGAAGCACACAGAACCCCAAACAAAAGCAATCCAAAGAGGACCACACCAAGACACATCATAATTAAAATGCCAAGAGCAAAAGAAAAAGAATCTTACAAGCAGCAAGAGAAAAACAGTTAGTTACCTACAAGGGAGCACCCATACGACTATCAGCTGATTTCTCAACAGAAACTATGCAGTAAAGCAACAAGCAGACTGTCAAATTACAGCAGGGAGGGTACGGAGATCTGGGGAAAATAAGAGATCAACTGAAGGACTTGTATACATGCATATAAGTACAACCAATGGACACAAAACTCTGGGGAGAGAGGGCATGTATGGGGGGGCAATGGTGTATGTATGCAGATAATAATTTAATAATAAAAAGTAAACAAGAAAAAAAAAAAGAAAGAAACTATGCAGGCCAGAAGGGAGTGGCAAGAAATATTCAAAGTGATGAATAGCAAGAACCTACAGCCAAGATTACTCTACCCAGCAAAGTTATCATTCAGAATTGAAGGGCAGATAAAAAGCTTCATGGTTCAGAGAAAGCTAAAGGAGTACATCACCACCAAACCAGTATTATATGAAATGTTAAAAGGTGTTCTTTAAAAAGAGGAAAAAAGAAAAAAGTAAACATAAAAATTATGAATAACAAATTCATATCTATCAACAAGTGAATCTAAAAGTCAAGTTAATTAAAAATCTGAGGAACAGAATAAACTGGTAAATATAATAGAATCAGGGGCATAGAATGGGAGGGAATTGATGATGCTCTGGGGGAAAGGGGTGTCTGTGTTGGGGGTATTGGAAGAGACTGAACAAAAATCATATACCTATGGATGAGGACAGCGGGAGGTAAGGGCAGATGGTGGAGTGAGGACCAGGTGGAGGTGAGCTATGGGGGTTGGGGAGGAGAAACAATTGTAATAATATGAGGAATAAAGATTTATGTAAATAAAATATCTG